ACGGTCAGCTGATGTGTGAAAAAAAGATTGGGGTTCGAGCTTCTTTCGGCAGGCATGGCTCGTGTGGATGCTGGTAGCCTTAAATGTTTCCATCCTGTTGACTTTTTTTTGTAGTTTTCCAACTTTAGTGAAAATGAGCATGTTGTATTTGGACTATTTTTACTTGACTTTCAGTAAACACATTAGGTTACATTGTAGGCAATGAGTAAGTCCGATTCAATTTGACAAGTATAAATTAAATGGAGTGTTTTTTATACAGCACCTTCCTTCACTTATCAACCACTCAAAGTGATTTTACACTACAAGCCCCATTCACCCATTCAGACACACATTCATACAGCGTTTCTATTCGCAGCGTTTTTTCTCGATCACCCTACTCACACGCTGCACTGGGGTCAGTGTCTTGCCCTATAGGATACTCCGGAAAACAGACTGGAGGAGCCGGAGATAGAACCACTGTCCTTGTGGACGGCCCTCTCTACCTCCTGAGCCAAAGCCACACTGTGCAGCCAAATCGCAAAGTTTATTATCCCAAGGTATTTTACATAGTAAGATTGAGACCATACAATTTTATAGAGAAACCCAAAAGTTATCACATCGAGCAAGCCCATGGCAATGGTGGAGAGACTTAATGACTCAATGTGGCCATCTGCCTCGACTGGAAAGGGTGAGCAGAGAAAAATGGGGGAGAGAGGAGAGGTGGGTGGAAGAGAAGAGAGAGAGAGGGGACTAGGAACACCTTTGTAAATGTCATATTTGAGCTCTGTCAGACTGGTTGTTATGCTGACTATACTAAGAGTGATACATACATGTGATGATAGCAGCAATGGTTAATAATAGTAGTAGTAGTAGTAGTAGTAGTAGTAGTAGTAATAATACTAATAATAAGATTTCTGGTGCTGCAGCCTCCCAGCATGTGCCAGTGTGACTTCAGTGTGAGCTCGGTGTGTGTGTTTGTGTGTGTGCCACGATCACTGGGAGCTTTTTAGAGGCATTAGAGCTGTTGTTTTCCATCATCAGGTAAATGTTTGCACTAAGGCAGCATTCCTAATGGAGAGCGAGTTGTGCAATCCCTTCCTAATGCTGCTGCATGATAAACATGACTCACGTACTCCGAGACACGGCTACCTCAGCCGCTGCGGTTCATGCTGCGTGATTCATCCAGGCCTTTTCCCTCCGCCTCCCGTTCCCCTTTCAATGTCCCACTCTCTATCACCTTATCCCCAAAAGCGTCTTTCCTCCTATTTCTCTTTCTCTGAGGTAAAAGGCGATTGTCAGTTTTAGTCACTCTTAGTCTCACAGTGATGTCAAAGCCTTGTCATGACTGAGCATGGGCAGAAGAGGCTGTTCTTTGCGGGGACATGACTGACTGACTGTCTCACCATAATGTTAGGTAACTCTGATTGTGGGCCACATGAACTGCAAGCGTACGAGAGCCGTGAGGTCAAAGAGGCCTCAGCGTGGATTGGTTGCGTCCTCATTTGCTTCCTGTTTCCAGTATGGCTTTTCTCCTGCATACCCTGGTCACCAGATGTTTTTATCTCATCAGCAGAACCAAATGCAACATCTGACAGAAGACGTGGAGTTTGTATTAAGGGCTGGCTGCCACCATTATGCTGTTGCTTTGCTGTTAAGACATTCTGATTGGACATCCTGACCCTGCTGAGGTCGAGTAAAGTAACCTTCAATTTTTCTCACAGCCCAGCCCATATTGGTTTGGTTTTAATGTGCCCTGTCTATACGTACGAGGTGACTCATCATGAGTCATCAAAACAGTAAATCCCCATTTTCTTTACCTATGAATCACACAAGCATAACATATCCTGAAGCAGCATTAATTCACTCCGCTGTGGTGTAGGTACAGCAGCAGCAGATTAACTTGTTATTGAATGGTTCCTAGCATTTCCGCTACTGTCGGAAACAAACACCCACACGGCAAAATCCAACCCTATAGCCCGTACATCTGCGCTGTCACGGTCCAATCCCACTGCGGCTTGGATGGCTGAAAGTGGCAGTTTGAACATTGAAGTGTGTAATCTAACAAAGGGAATCCTGGGAAGATGGAGGGATGAAGGAGAGAGAGGGAGAGGAACCTCCAGCTGCAGGGCTTGCCAACTTGCTGTCATCTCACTAGAGGTGCTACAGAGAGCGAGGATGGAAACCCAGTGCTGCTGACTCGCATGTAATTAGCTTCTCTCTCCCAGGCTGCTCATTTTTAGCAGGCCCGTGTATGTGTTTGTCTGCATGTGGAAATGTGCTGCACCAAGGAGAAGTCGATTTCTTGAAGTCCGTGAGGCGGCGCTCATTCTTAGATTCCTCTCCTAGAAAGCTCCTCAAAGCTGCAGCCATGTAAGTGTGTTTAGCTCAGAATCAAAACATTTCTGCACACAAAACAAGCTTTTCATGCATCAGTGAGTCCCTGTACAGCAGTGATGGTTATGGGACCCCAACCCCCTCCCACCTAGACACTGTGTTTCCCACAGGCTGGCATCAGCTGCCTGCGATGGGGTGACCCACACAATGCCTGGGGCTCCACTTCTCCTTTCTCCCTGCTCCTCCGATCCTCCAGGGCCACTTGCTGGTTCTGCTTGGTGGCTCGGAGTGGCAGAGTGTGGGAGACTGACTTTCTCTTTCACAGTTCCAACCTCTGTCGCTTTGTAGTTCTTCCTATTTATCTTAATAAGCAGTGTCTGTTATAAAGGTAGGAGCTGATGAAACATAATCACACATAGATGCACATATAGGTGGTAACAGCAACTCTTCCTCCTCGTGGCTGTAACAGTGTTAAACTAGTGGATCAGGGGACTGTGTCATTCACTCAGGGACCTCCTTTGACTGAGCTAATTATACTGGCTGACTTGTTTGAGGGACTCCCACTGAGATGCAGGTATTCCAGGGCTCTGAGGTGTCTGCTGGTAATGGAATGTAATTGTATCATGGCAATGAGGTGAAGATATTGTAAAAAGAAGATTGTTAAAGGAGTTAGCTGCATGTTTTAATTTAATTAAACTAGCAATTTAGCATTGCACGTCCACTGACACTTCTGGAACACTGCATCCTACAATTTCCACAATGCACCTGGATAGCAACCCCTCATTTACACCCCAGTACATAAGGCAAAAGCTCATGACTTTTAAAACTCCCGAGAACAGTCTCCATCCACACAAGCATCTTAGCTCTGTATCAGTAATAACTCCAGTCCACACTCACACGCCTGAAAACGTATATTACAAGATCTTTCATATACACTGTGCATATATATAAATTCAGGGAGCAGATTTGTCTACTCTGCAGTTGGGTGCAAAGTTACAGAAAAAACGAGGAATGAGAAACAACACTGGTTGTAAGATGAGGGATTCATTCTCTTAGACCGTTGAGTTGAGTCGCAATACCAATCAAACTGGTGACTGCGTCATTATTTCAAAACATGTTCCCATCCAGACTACAATGCATCCATGGATAGCTTTTCCAATAATTTCTGTTTTAGGTGCTCAAAGACTGGGGAGTAGTGTGGACAGCAGCAGTGATGCTAGTCGAGTGGATTTAGCCTAGTCAAGATGTCATGACCCCAGTGACATCATCAGGGTTCTTTTCTCAGACCACCTACCTGAGTCACATCAGACACTACACAGCTGTCGATACATAAAATTGCTGGAGTGTCTTTTTAATTCAAGCCGTACTGATCAGCCCCGTTTGCATGTATACAGTACTATGCCATGATTGTTTACACAGTTACACTGTAGGACGAGATAGTAGTGATGAGAGAAATGAGCTGACCAACAATTTAATAATCATTTGACTCCGGACATCTCATGATAAATGTAACTTCAGTGAAACTTTAATAGTTTACACTGCAAATCATACTTTGAAGTCAACTATTTTGCCCTGAATGTTATTAAAATTTTTTCCTGTCAGAAAATGCATCATGTTCCTGGTTCATGTAATGTGGCCATGGTGAGAGGCGTGTTTGTGTGTGTGTGTTTAACATGAAGAGCATTGACCTAGAATTAGCTTTGATTGATCACATCCCGTTTCCTTTTTCTGTTACTCCCTCCAACCCGGAGAAAGGGAGAGAGAAAGAGAGAGAGAGAGACCTATGGTTGTGAAATGAGGCAAGGTAATGCTCTTCCCACTGGACAATGTACAGTACACACACGAACACACACACACACACCCTCTCCCTCTCTCTCTCTCCCCCCTG